CTCCCAGATTTTTCCACATTAAAGAAGGGGAAACAGAGGACCTGAGAAGAGAAGGGACTTGCCCCAAGTTGCAAGGACACTAGAGCAAAGCCCAAATGTGCTCATGCCCTCCTAACACCTTTACCAAGCACAGGACTAGGCACTGGGGCCATGAGGACAAGACGCATGTCCTTACCTGGCGAACATTACAGACAGATGATAGTGTGGGGGGAGCAGGGGAGGGGGCGGAGAGGCAGCGGCCCCAGCAGTAGCAGTGGCTGCCGCAGCCTCATAATAATGTGGCTAATATTTGTGGAGCCGGCGTTGACCACGCCCCAGCCCCAGGCTGGACGTGATTTTCAACTTTTTATTTTAGCAGCTGAATCCTTTCTTCAAGAGAAACCTTATGTGGAACCCTCCATAAATCAGACAGTACAGGGGGTGAGCCCTCTTGCTTAGCCTCTCCTATTTAACCCCCTGAAGGGGCTCTGGAAGAGCTTTCTCAGAGCCTGAGCTCTCCCCTGAGCACAGTTTAAAGACCACCCAGGGGGATAGGTTACAAGCAGAATTTCCGGGTCCATTTATGCTTATTTTACAGATGAGCAAACAGAGGCCCAGAGGAGGGGAGGGATTCAGTGAGGGTCACCCAGGGAGTTACCACCACAACTGGCACACCAGCCAAAGTCCTCTGAATCTCAGGTCTGTGTCCATCTGTGACACCTCTTTTACGAGGAAACAGGGGCCTTTTACTAACAGCTATAAAATACCATCTCTTCCAAACCATCTTTTTTTTTTTTTTTTTTTTCCTCTTCTTTTGGCCGTGCCATGCAGCTTCTGGGATCTTAGTTCTCCGACCAGGGCTTGAACCCAGGCCCTTGGCAGAGAGAGCATGGAGTCCTAACCACTGGACTGCCAGGGAGTTCCCCCAAGCCATCTTTTAAAGCCGAGCTTGCAGTGGGCTCTATTAACGTGGTGTTTTCACCTCCCTCCTGCCCTGTCTGTCCCCCACCTCCAGTTCTTCCACATCACTGACCATAGGGGAAGAATCTCACCTTAGAGAAACTGTCCCTGGGAGCCAAGTAGATGAGTGTGGCTTGAAGCTGACAGCTTCATAGTTTACCTTAGGAGTTCTCCGTTCCTCTCAGCTTATTTAATGTGATGCCTCATCACTCTGTAATATTCACAGGACACTTGACATTAGAAAGGGCCTTTTAAATCCTTTGAAATAGGAGTTTTAAATTCATCGGCACCGTGGAGTGTGTAAGCGGAACATTAACTTTCCTGTGTGCGCAAAGATGGAGACTTCTTCAGGAAATGTAATGATCGCATCCCTTGGGGTGGCATCTCTGAAGGTAGCCTGCTACCCAGCCCCCCCCCCCCCCCCGCAGGCCCCATAGTTGCCACCTACCCCTCTCTTCTTGCTCATTCCCAGCTCCTTTTTTCCCCGGGTGGCTTTGACATGGATTCCTCTCTCCCCTGTTCCCTTGTACTGGCTTGTCCCTTTCTCCAGGGTCTGTCCATGACTCTTTCTAAGGGTTTTAGTGCAAACCATCTAGGAAAAATGAGTCAACCGGCCAAGGTAACAAGCATGGGAAGCTCCTAGGGTTCCAAACCTGTCCCAGCTGGTTCTGTCCCCCAGCCCCTTCTTGTGTAAGTCTGAATGGCTCCCCATATGACCCAGAGGTGAATCTAAGGCTGTGTTTTCCAAACGTTCCATGAGATTCCAATTCCAGGAGCAGTTTCTCAGAGACATGGGTTCATGGTCCAAAGGACAGGGAAGTTCTGCTTGTATCCTCCCTGTCTTGGTGACTGACATCCGTTGTGGGAAAGCAGACCAAGGGTTTTGAGAAGTCAGGCAGAGTAGAGAGCCCTGTGCAACTTGGTACAACCCAAGACCTGTTTGAGCACCAGAAGCGTGTTTTGCGGCCCATCTGAGAGATGCTAATTCGGAGGTGTGTCTGTGAGTTGATTCTGGAAGCCTCCGAGCCCTTACTAGGGTCCTCTTGGCCCTGGGATGGAGACCACAGGGCCTCTCCCGGCTCCACTCAGGAAAATCCAAATTAGGTTATTCTCTGAGAGGCATCAGGAAGGCTTTTTTCCATCTATACCAGAGCATCGTCAGCTGCTCGTGCTTTCTTTGGAAGTAAATAGAAATGAATCAAGCCGGGGTGGGGGGGCCATTTATGGTCTGAACATTGCATTCTTGGGGTCTGGTCAAAGGAAGACGTCAGACCAAGCTGAGCCATTCTTAGAGAAAAGGATGGCACTGGCCTTTTCTGTATTTGGGAAGCAAGACCTTTCTTATCAAGCCAGCTGTCACACACTCGGATTTCTCCTACAAAGAGGCCCACACATGCACAAACTTATATTAATAACACGTATCTCTACTCTCTTTCTGAAATGGAGGCTTTTTCGGTAGCCTAGTCAACTTTGGTTTTTGTTTATTTTTAATTACTTTGTTTCAAATTAACAATTAATCCCAGCTTTTTGATTGATAAGTTGGTTATCTTTTCCTAGGTTTTGTTTCTCTCTACTCTGGAAAATTCCATCAGTCATTTCACAGATGAGCCACGGGTTTTGTTTGTGTTTGTTTCCATTGGGGCCTAAAACCACAAAACACTGTGAGGAAGGTGATATTGATTGTATTAGTTTGGTACAGCTGCCGTGACAAAGTACCACACACTGAGTGGCTTAAACAGCAGAGACTTTTTTTTTTTTTTAACGGTACGCGGGCCTCTCACTGCTGTGGCCTCTCCCGTTGCAGAGCACAGGCTCTGGATGCGCAGGCTCAGCGGCCACGGCTCACGGGCCTAGCCGCTCCGCGGCATGGGGGATCTTCCCGGACCGGAACACGAACCCGTGTCCCCTGCATCGGCAGGCAGACTCTCAACCACTGTGCCACCAGGGAAGCCCCAAACAGCAGAGATTTTTGTCTCAAAGTTCTGGAGGCTAGATGTCCAAGATCCAGGTATTGGTAGGGTTGGTTCCTTCCAAGGGCTGTGAGGGTCTGTTCCAGGCCTCTACTCCAGCTCCTGGTGGTTTGCTGGTAATCTCTGGTATTCCTTGGCTTGCAGAAGCATCACCCCCATCTCTACCTTCATCTTCACATGGTGTTCTTCCTGTGTGCCTGTGTAAATTTCCCTTCTTTATAAGGACATCAGTCCTATTGGATTAGGGACCCCTCCTCTGGCATGACCACATCTAAACTAATTACATCTGCAACAACCCTCTTTCCAAGTAACTGTCACATTCTTACTTGGAATGTGGTTCTAGGTTACTGAGGTACAGGGGGTTAGAACTTATATGAATTTGGAGGGGACACAGTTCCACCCATAACATCAACTCTATACATAATAACACATTTATTCTGCAGCATTAACAAATGCTCTGAGCTGCTGCCTCACCCTTTAGCCTGTCAGCCTCAGAAACAAAAGCTGAGAGCTCAGCTCACGTAGGCTGCAGGACAGGTGGGAACTGCCTTAGACACAGAGATGCTAGCAGCTCCTGCAGCAAGCTGACACTGTCCATCTTCCAAGAGAAGAGCCCAGAATGTCCTCAAGGTGGTCTGATTGGACCACCAATGGCAGGTGAGAACTGGAATTGGGTTCATTTCAGTGAAAGACTTCCTGCTGTGTGCACAGGCCTGAGTCAGGCCCTCGGGAGAGTGGGGTGGAGCAAACCCAGGCCCTGCCCATGAGGAAGCCGCAGGAGGCAGACGTGCGAGCTGCTTGCAGAGGTGTGGGTACAGTGCTGTGGCCGTGATGAACTTTGCTCAGAGAGGGGACACTGAGGCTTCACAGAGGAGGTGATGTGTGAGCTGGGCTTGTCATGTTATCAGACAGTTCCAGCCAAGCTGGGGGACAGAAGGGCTTAGGGCCCCATTGTGTCTCCCAGGTTAGGTGACAGGCAGTGTGGTGTAGTGGGGAGCACTGGGTCCGGTGACAGGGGTTCTGAGTCAAGCCCTAGGTCATCCCTCAGTTTCTTTGTTGATAAAAAGGTGTTAGTTAAAAAATTCAATTTACAGGGTGTGGCATCAGTATTGAATGAGTTCTCAGGTGTGAAAGTGTCATGGTTATGGAAGTAGCAGAGACAGGATACAAACACAGGTGTTAGGTGTCATCTGTGCCACAGAGAATATGCAGTAGCCTTCTCTCGCAAGGAGAGCAGCTGGGAAGCGGCAGACCTGGACTCCCACCCCCTCGATCAATCACTTCCTCCCTCTGAGCCAGCTCCCTGGGGGGTGAAGTGAGAGGTCTGGACCAGGCGATCTCCTTCTGGCCATGAAGTTAGGTGACTCTATGAAAAGGTGCCTGATACAATGGCTAGAGCCACGTGGGCTTGGAAAGCCAGCAGACTGGGGTTCAAATGGTGGTCCTGTCCCCTCTTGGTAGTGTGATTTGTGTGAGTCACTCAGCCTTCTCATCTGCAAGACGGGGTAAATGCAAGACGGGGTAAAAACCTCAGGGGTTAAATTAGAACGTCCTTGGGAACTACTTAACGCCCAGCTTGGCCTGTGGTAGTAAAAGTTAGCTGTTACCGTCATTGCTTCTTGTGAGGACTGAATGAGATGCTGTAGGGGAAGGGCCTGCGTGCAGCAGGTGCTTAATTAACCACTGACACTTCCCCTGCTTTTAAGATCAGCCTTGGCAGAATTTCCATCGTTCATGTTTTCCATCAGGGTGTGGGGTGAAGGGTGGAGGGTTGTACAGAAAATTTTCGAACTATTTGAGGAATAAAATAGTTTTCAGGCACTCGTAAGCCATTTATAATCACCTATTACTTGTAACTAACGGCCATGCCAATTACAACAATTACAAGTCGTTAAATTGCAAGCCCTCAGGACTTTTACCTTGCAAGGTTTATGAGATAATTAGTCCAACCTAATACAGGATTCCAGTATAGTAATTATTATCTTGACAATTCATAAAACATGCCCAGGGCTCCATGTGAGTGACAAGCATCTATTTGCTCTGAGAGCAAATCCAAGAAGGGTCTTTCTAAGATTTTTCTCTTTCTGGTAGGTCATAGATGGGAACAGAAAGTTCTTCTACGATGTCGTACAGACGAGAACTAGAGAAATACCGTGACCTGGATGAAGATGAAATCCTTGGAGCCCTTACAGAAGAAGAGCTGAGGACCCTGGAAAATGAGCTGGATGAGCTGGACCCTGATGTGAGTAGGCACTAAAGGGGACACGTTGTCACAGTTGCAAGGACAGCAGCCATTACCACCTAGGGGAGGGGTAGGCCGACTTCCTGAAGTACCACTTCCCCTTTCCCACTGTGACAATAACATTGGAGTAACATTGCCTTTGCAGGTGCATGTGTGAGTGTGTATTATATTAGTCAGGGTTCTCTAGAGAAACAGAACCATTAGGAGGTAGGAGATTGTATATATATATATATATATATATATGTATGTATAAAGAAATTTATTATAAGTAATTGGCTCACATGATTATTGAGGTTGACAAGTTCCAAGATCTGCAGTTGGCAAGCTGGAGACCCAGGACAGCTGGGAGTGTAGTTCTAGCCTGAGTTCAAAGGCCTGGGAACCAGGAAAGCTGATGGTATTGTTTCAGTCAAATAACTGGCAGGCTCCAGACCCAGGAAGAGCCAGTGCTTTCAGTTCAAGTCCAAAGGCAAGAAAAAAAAACAAAACACAAAAGCAATTACCCAGCTCAGAGTAATCAGGCAGAAGGAAATTCCCCCTTTGCTGGTAGGAGGATCAGCTTTTTTGTTCTACATGTATTCAGACCTTCAACTGATTGGGTGGGGCCCACCCACCTTAGGGAGGACAATCTGCTTTACTCAGTCTACCAATTCAAATGTTAATCTCATCTAGAAACCCCCTTACAGACATACCCAGAATAATTGTCTAAACATCTGGGCCCCCCATGGCCCTGTCAAGTTGAGACATAAAATTAACCATCCCAAGTCCACTCCTAGTCAACTTGGCACCCATACACATCTCCTTAAACCATATTCATCTCCAAATAAAGACAATAACAAGGTCATAATTCTGCCTAACATGATACAACTACCCTGTGTATAACCTGCCAGAAGAAGAGGTAAAGTCCTTGAGCAGTGTTTACTTTTCTCCTCGATCTCCCATAATTTAATACTATGATGTAAAATTAACAGTACTTAGATACCACCATACAAAACCAATACATCTTGTGTTTCACGTTAAGAGAATAAGAGAGGGAAGAAAACAAAGATATTTACTTAATACACATACATAGACTCACACATACACAAACATGTTCATAAAAAAATACAGAGGAAATACTCCTGACCACACTGTCCTCGTTTCTCTAACTGGTCATGTGGTCACAGCTGGTATTTATAACTACCTTCTTCCACTGTCCATTCTGTACTTCCCTCACCTTCAGCAACCACAGCCTCAGCTGGGTGTGGTTCTTTGCCTGGCGGAGTGAACCTAGTTCCGAAGGGCCTGGACCATTAGTAGTCCTGCCTGGATTGAGTTGTTATAGTTTTCCATTGACTCTAATCACAGGTCCTGGCAATACTAAGAAAGCCCTAAGGAATCTCCTGTATTACAGACATACTCTTCTTTACCTCCCTTGTGGAGAAGCAGTCTGATTTACCCTTGGTAACCAGGACCAATCACCCCAGCCGGTACAGAAACTCCCTCTCTGCCTGTTCATTCAGAGGCATAAGGAGCCCAAAGTGGCAGTCTTAACCTCCAATCCAATGCAATCACTGCTGTGTCTCCTAGTGGAAGCATTCCTCCCTTTGGAACTAACTAAGACCTTGAGGCCAGCAGAGCATCAGGTCACAGGAACAGGATGCACAACTTTTGCCAGTGGGTCACTAGGGGGACCACTGGTAATAGTGAGCGGTGCTACTCCCATTTTCTGGACCCGTGAATCCTGGCCGGGAGGAGAAGCGCCATATATTGGACTCTGATTCAGAGCATGTACAGGCTCCTAGAGACACTTGCCCCGGTCCTGCAGGGTATTACCACCTAGCTGTACTGCAACTGAGCCTGCAAAAGCCAAGTCCAGCGTTCTGTCAAGCCAGCTGCCACAGGATGGTGGGGAATATGTGTCAGGTAGCACATATAAGTGTGTTTAATACTCAGAATTTGCCTCTTCAGTGAGGTTACGGCATCACAAGGCAGGAGGCTCCCTGGCCATGTCTGTGGTTTGGCCGGTCACCATGGAGCTGTCAGCAGAGCTGAGGGAGGTGGCTATTTCAGGTACCCCGGCCAATGCCCAGCTCAGAGAAGGGAGAGAATGAATGTTACTGAATTAAGTGAATTTCCCATTTGATATATTTTTAAATTAAAAATGGGATATTTCATGCCTTTTTTAAAAAAACCTGTCACTGCTCAACCCTAGTTTAACAGTGATCCATACAAGAAAACACTACCATTTCATTAACCCTCAAGTAATTGCAGCTAGTGTAGGGGGAATGTAGGTTAGCAGGGAATATGCAGGACTAGAGGTTAGGTGTCCCAGGTGCAACCCTGGCCCTGTCTCTTATATTCGTGTGACCTTGCGCCAGTTGCTGTCCGTCCCTAAGCTTCCGTGTCGCCATCCATGAAATAATGGAGTTGGTTGGTCCCATTCAAAGCTAAGCTTCCATGAGCTTATGACCTGGTCTTATCTCCGGGTTTGATTAAATGTCTTCTTTCTAGATAACCCAGAATCCTTGTTTAGGGGTGCTGGGCCCTAGGCCACACAGAGTGACAAGTCCCTCCAGCAATGTGCTCTCATCTTGCTATTCACGACCCCTGCTGCCCCCAACCCCTGACCCCGCCAGGAGGAGACGGTCCCTGAAGTGAGGCTGCTGGGGTTGATTAGAAGACAGCGTTGGTGGGAGAGCCTTGGGTTCCTCCTTCCCCTGCACCATCGCTTTCCATGAGCCTGGGTTTCCATAAAAACGAGTGATGTAGGGAAGAAACAGCCAAGCTTCCAGCTCTAGTGCTATAAAGTTATTCTGCTCTAATTCCATCCTGGGTCACCGTTGTACAGAGTTGCAAGAGTAGATAGTTTTAAAAAGTGAGAACTAAAGGAGGATGTAGCTACTTCTAGTCAATTCGGTAAACATGACTCATTACCTGCCATGCGCCGACCCCTGTGCGGCCACCAGCAGGGGAGCCTAGCGGGGATTCTGCCCTTCAGGCCCTCCATCCAGTGGGGAGCGGGCATAATAAACCGTGTCCTAAGTGGGGGCACTCAGGGAGAGGATTAATTCTTTTTGGTGGGAGGCTTCACAGAATAGGTGATACTGGGACTGGGTCCTGGATTTTTCAAAGTCAAGAATAAAAACAAAGAATTCTATGCTGAGTGAAGGTCACAAGCAAAGGCTCATGTACAGCAAGTAATTGGGGATGGGGAGTTTAGGCGTGGTTTCTGTGGAGGGCTCGCTGAGCCTGGAAGGGGGTTTGGGCTAGATATGGGGGCAGAGGGGTGCAAGGAAGACTAAAGAGTTTGGACTTTTCTCAGCAGGCCCAGGGAGTCCCGAAGGCAGAGAGTCAGTGGACTTGCTGACTAAGGACAGATGGACTGGAGGAGAGGCTGGGGAGATGGGTGAGAGGTGGAAGGGCTCCCATGTCCCTCTCCACAACCCTTCTGCCATCTTGCAGAATCTTTGCTGTTTTCAGGGTGAAGCACAGACTCCCAGGAGCCCCCAGAGCCTGCTGCTTCTGGCCTTGGGGCTGTTGGAGTTGCCCTGAGCCGCTGGATGGGGGTGAGTTTAGATTAGGCTGTGGCTACAAATTGGGTAGGTGATGACAAGGGTCAGAGCCAGGCAACAGACCTGGGAGTGGGAAGGGGGCAGATGGAGGAGCCCTCTCAGAACCGGGAGTGGAGCCCCTAAGGACTGCTGGAGCCCCTAAGGACTGCTTGAGCCCCAGCTAGGAGCTCCATTTCACTTCTAAACTGGCAAATGACCTCACCCCTAATAACAGGGTGTCTGGCCCTAGCAGCAGATTCCCAGGGCCTCTGTACCGTCACACAGCCAGCTGCCCTGAGCCCTTCTCACTGGTGATTAACAGGAAGGTATGCGTGTGAACACTGGAGGGCTGGAGAAGCCGGTGAGGTGCAGAGAGCTGACTGACTTGCTCGGCGTCACAGGACCAGGGCATGGAGACTCAGATTTCACACAGGCTCCAAAGTGTGGCACCTCCCCCTCTGGCAGGAGGAAGGTACAAGTGCACTTGAATTTCAGAGTAGGGTTGGGCAATCCGAGACCTGTGATCCTCGTAGCATTGTGGCTTCAAATGGGCATTTTCAAAGCCCCCTTTCTCTCTAAGTTCAAGAAAAAGAGAAGAGAAATCAGAGCAAGGATAGGAGATAACGGAGACCAGCGGGGTTTTTGTCCCCATCTAACAATTAGCCCTTCACTGAGATGTCTCTGTTACCTGATTTGCAAGTCAGGATGGGAGTTTTGAAAAGATCTAGTGGGGCTCCATTCTTTCTGAGAGCACAGACATTCCAGCTCGAGTTTCACCTGCCCTCAGCCCATGTTCTGAAATCACAGCACAGGGAGAGGTCAAAGGTATGCAGACCAGGAGGGGCCTCCGAGCCTCTGGCCGGGAGGGGATGCAGAGACCGGCAGGTGTCCAGCCACCCAACTTACAGAGCAGAAACTGAGCCCAGAGAGGGGAAGGGACTTGCTGTGGTCACAGGCCCGAGCAGAACCAGCCCAGGACCGCTGCCCTCTCTCTTATACCCTGTACTCCTCCTGTTTTAATTCTGGTTTAACAAGTGCTTATATGGCACTTTTTATGTGCAGACGCTGTTCTAGGCACTTTGAAAATATGAATCCATTCAACCGTCATCCTAATCCTATGGTGCAGGCACTGTTATCCTGCCCATTTTACGGATGAGAAAACTGAGAGGTGAAGTAACTTGTCCAGGAAACTGAAATGAGGCAGTGGCAGAGCCATGACACGGCTCTAAAAGTTCACGTCTTAGTCACACCGCTATAAGGCTTCACTGGAGTCTTCAGGAAGATAGTTTGAGCCACGGATGTGCCCTGGTTTTGTAGTTGGGGAAGGTGGTGTATGAGAAATTATCCCCTTTTCTTCCTAGAAACAGTCTGAGATGCAGAGGTCCTTATTCAATCTTGGCTCTGCCCCCAACTTTGGCAAGTGCTTTTCCCTCTTTGGATCTCAGTTTCCCTATCTGCAAAATGGAC